GTTAAATTGGAAGTGAGGAACAGTTTTCATTCTGTTTACAAAGTTAGTAATCTGCAACTTATTTTTTCTAGCAGTTTATTGATGAAATTGCTTTTAGAAGGAAACCTCCCGCCACCTTCCTGTCCTTCTATTTTAGAAGGACAAAACAGAGGATGGGAGAGGGAGGGGAGAAGGAAAGGGTATTGGGGGGCACAGCCCTCGTTCACACATTTGAATTTATGATAGTAACCATTTTCTTTTTCATTTCAAATACTTTTCCAAAGCCTTAGTTTACTGAATTGCTTTAATTTAGGAGAAGATTGTGATATCTGGTATCTTCACTTTTGCTTTATGTATTCCGGTTTTTTTAAAAAATCTTCTGAGCATGATAAATGCTCGTTTGTTGAAGGCACTAAAATTGGCTTGCAGGAAAACATACTTAATATGGGGTTCTGTGTTCAGGACCTTTCTTCTTTGTTTATCCTGAAACAAAGGTGTTTGTTTCCAAGTGGTTTGTCCAATTTCACAGGTCCCATAAAACATGTAACAGATTACCCAGACGGCAAATGATGATATATACATTTTACATATGAGTATTTCCATTGGGCCAGATGGTGATTTAATGCAAATTGTCAAACATTTATGTTTCTTATTAAATTGTCTTTTGTCTAAGCCAAGACAGTAACATAATTTGGAACACAGTCAGGAGTCACTAAGGGACAACAACAAGAATTCAGACACTAAGTGGCTGTGGCATTTGCTCCATGTGGCATTTGTTCCATGTGGCATGTGAAGGCTCCCAACCGCGCCTGCCTTGCCCTCTGAAAACTTTTCACATCTTCAAGAATTACCTGCTGGGATGCTGTGTACAAACCATCCCATTGCTTTCCTCTCCCTCCCCAAACCCTTATCTGCCATTGTTCAGGGCAGCTTTCTTCCGTGGGGTCTTGGAGAGGGTAAGGCGGCTGTACTTCCTCAGTGCCCGGGACTTAAGCGCAGAAGAGCAGTTTTAGTTCTTCCTTACGCACTTCCCTTCCCCGCTGACCACTGTCGTGTTTGCTATGGACTCCACCCGGACTGTTTCCTCGTAGATGGTGCTCAGCTTTGCAGGGATGGGTCATCTGTGGAAAAAGTCATGTGCCCAGTCACAGGGCTTCTTACAGGAAATGCTCCCTGCCTGTTAGGTTAGCGCAGGACAAATGCAGCCCTGAGCCTGCGGGGCTTCCCAGCTCTGAGTCGACAAACTGTCCTCATTTTCTTTCTTTCTTCCTTTTCTTTCTTCCTCTTTTTCTTTCTTTCTCTTTCCCTTTTTCTTTCTTTCTTTTTTTTCTTTTTTTCCTTCTTTCCTTCTTTCTTTTCCTCTGTCTTTTCTTAAGATTTTATTTATCTATTTTCTATTTTTAGAGAGAGGGGAAGAGAGGGAGGGAAACATTGAAGTGAGAAACATCCATCAGTTGCCTCTTGCATGTGCCCTGACCGGGGATCGAACCCACAACCCAGGCATGTGTCCTGGCTGGGAACCAAACCAGCAACCTTTCACTTTGTGGGATGACACCTAACCAGCTGAGCCATGCTGGTCATGGTGAAAGTGTTCTCATTTTCCACATAAAGCTTTGAGTCTTTTATACAGTATCAAATCACTGCAGGTTTTTTCTTTTGAAATTTAGGTGAAAATCTGAGTAACAGAGTATTTATTACATATTAAGGCCATGACAAGAAACCCATTGTTGCTGTAATCTAAATTTGATCAAAATAACTGTTTTTTAAAAATTAAAAAGCGTAAGTTTTCTTTCAGAAACTTCTCATAGCAAGAATAAATATTACATAAAAGTAAACAAAAACACAGAGGGAAACCTCTGAGAACACTTTGAAACCTGTTGGGGGGGGCCCATTATGATTTCAATGAAGGCCACCCAGCCTGCATTAAGAACAATTAGATGTCACTTGAAACATCTTTTGGTGGCATTCTCGGTGGATACAGTAAGCTAGGGCTGCAGGAATCCTCTGTCCCCCAAGATCCCCTGTTGTTTCAGATCAGATGAGATAATCAGATACTCAGCTCAAGAGCTGACCCAAATGGTACTTCATGGTTTCCTTTCCCTGTTTTTTGATAAGGATTCATCAAGATACCCTTTTCTGATCATGTTATGGAAATTTTAAAAAACTGATTTGGTTTCAAGCTGTGCATTGGAAGGTGGTCATGCCAGGAAGTGAGTGGCAACTGAATGGGTATCTGTGTGAGTACATGAAAGTGTGTGTTATTTATTTTTTAAACAAGACATGTTGTACATGCCTTGTAGTGGATTTCAGGCCATCTCTAAGGAACCAAATAGCTTCATTGCCTTGTTTCGAGCTCCTACTATATTTAGGTCCTTGACTTCATTATTATCCAATGGCCTGGGATTTGGTCTCACTTATAGCTGGTAGTAGGATCCACCATCAGCATGCATAACAATGTTTGCATATGCTTTACATTAATAGAGTGTTCTTTCACATGTCTCTTTTGATCCACCAACATCTGTATGATTAGGGGTAGAATGGAATAACATATTAAGTTTATAGCTAAACCATCTGAACCCACTCAGGACATCTTATCTTGTGGGAGGAAAGGGAGGGAAGAAAAAAAAAAGAGTTATATCAACTCTTGGTGTGGTCACCACTGATAATTTTGGAGAAAACTGCATTTAGAAACTTTCCTCCAACCATTCTAGGGATACTCTGGAAAAGTCAGATTTGTGACTTGTTTCCAAAATTAATTGCTTCAGTGTTCTTTCCGTTCTTTTATGAAAAAGTCAAAACTGGACACTGGTTCTTATCCTGGAATCTCTTAACAAGGAGAAGCCCCAGGCCTAGGCGGCCTGGGGAAAGTGGGGGAGGTGCGTGTCAGAGTGGACCCCAGGTGCTGGGACCAGTGTTCTGGTTTCTCTCTCATTGATCTGAATAGGTTAGTGCACATTCTGCATCAGTTTTTGAAATAGGTAGGAAGGGTACTGCCTATTTTACAGAGACTATAGAGTTCAGTTGCGATGGCAAAATCATGCATGCCTTTATTAGTGCTACTAGCATTTAGTACATGTGAGTATACTGAACACCTACCTCCTCAATACCTTGGTCAGATAGCTCCAGTTTGGAAAAATGTCTAGAGAAGATACTCTGCTGCATCTGCATTCACTAAGAAGATACAGTCCAACCTAATCTCAGTGTTAAAGTAGATTTCTCTGTACCTGGGCCTTTGTCTCTCACGTGACCTTTGAGTAAGCATGCTCATTAAGATGGAAACAAATCATTTAAAAATGGAGATTCTCGTAATTTACTTTAATGGGGAGCCCCTGAGAGGACAGCTGTGAATACCTCTACGTTGCTTATTTTATTGCTTGTGGCCAGGAAAATGATCCAGGTGACATGTGGTTAATCCAACCTTCGACGTAGGAACCACTGGCCAGTGATCAGATTGTATATTTTTAGTGCAGGCTAGTGGTTATAAATGCATGAGTCAGCCCATGATTGAGACTGTCCCAGTACGTGTCCCTGACCGGCCCCTTTCTTTCTAGTAGTCTCCCTTCTCTCTAAACCTCATTATTCTTATATGTAAAATAGGGATATGTATTATCTTTATATGGTTGTTTTGAGGATTACTTTATACATGCAGAGTACTTAGAACAATGCCTGACATATAGAAAGCTCTTAATAGGTGTTGGTTTAAACACAGGCTTATCCTAGCCAGTTCTAAAGAGCTACAGGTATTGTTTTAACCCAGCTTGCCCTGTGTGCTTTGCACTGTGTGTGAGGCTGTTGGAGGCTAGAATGATGATGGCCTCCCCTGAGCAGCTTTCGTAAGTGTCCAACACCAACTTTCAATCACAGCTGGAGGTCGCCTCTCCTACCCAGCTGGTTGTGCTGTGCTAGGCTGGGTGGCCTGCTCCGCCTTTGTTGGGTAAAAATAGCCTGACTGCTCACTGAAGCCACAAGCATGTTATTTCTGTCCTTGGAAGGCTGAAATTCGGAGAGTTCTAGACATACAGAGCCAGCCTGGTGCTTCCAGCAATCAGCAGAACTGAAATACAAAGTTTGATGCTGTGTACAAGCTATAAAGCAGGTCTAACCTTGATACATAGAGTAAATCAAAATAACTATTCTCTCATTGTGGGATTCTCCCAGTATCTTAAAACTTAATACTGCCTGTCCTTCGGGAGGGTGGGGGGTGCCGTGTGTGTGTGTGTGTGTGTGTGTGTGTGTGTGTGTGTGTGTGTGTGTGTGTGTGTGTGTGTTTATGATTTCTCGGGAGTGAACCTAGTGGGCGCTCTCCCCTTCCCAGCTGTTTGGGCCGACAACAGACAACCCCTCAGTTCACCCGCGCCACGAAATTACCATCAGCTAAGACTTGACTGATGTGTTCATGCTTCAGAAGATAAAACTCAGGTCAAGGTGAAATTGTTTTAATAACGTGAGCCACAGAGTAGCAAGAAATGATGAGGAAGAGATAAGCCAATGTAGGAAAAATCAGAAAACTGGTGCTATTTCACAATTGCTAGACTGACAATTTAACTTGGGGTTTTTTTTCCGTCCTGTGTAAACTGGATTTGCTAAGCGAATTTAGAGAAAAATTCTCTATATTCAATCATGTTCTCCAAATCCCATTTTTCATAATAAACCAGTGGCCTGGAGTGCTTGCTCTAATTTCTTTATTCCATTAAACAAGTGTGGGATCTCTTTTAATTCAGGAACTTTAACATGTAACATTTGTCACCTTTGCTCTTTTGTGACCTCTACCATCATTAATAACCCAAATAATAAATGATTAGAATGGGTGGCTGTGTGTGTAGGTTACTTGTTGTTTTTTAAAATGAATAGATTAATTGCGTGGCTAACTGTGCCCTCCCAGAACATTGGATCCCATTCAGGTTTTGTTTGTTAATCGCCCCATGACCCCCAAGAGCAATGGCATAGGGTGAATTTTGTGGTATCTGCCATTTTAAAACCATCTTAGCCATGGTCTCTGTCCTTTTTTCTTTTGAAAATAGGACATGGATTTGATTGACATACTTTGGAGGCAAGATATAGATCTTGGGGTGAGCCGAGAAGTATTTGACTTCAGTCAACGGCGGAAGGAGCATGAGCTTGAAAAACAGAAAAAACTCGAAAAGGAAAGACAAGAACAACTCCAAAAGGAGCAAGAGAAAGCCTTTTTCGCTCAGTTACAACTAGATGAAGAGACGGGTGAATTCCTCCCAATTCAGCCAGCCCAACACATCCCATCAGAAACCAGTGGATCTGCCAGCTACTCCCAGGTATGGAGTACTGAGTTCCTGGGAAGATGTATGGCAGGGTGTGAGGAAAGAACATTGACCCAGGAGTCAAAACATCTGGATTTGAGTTCCAGTTTTGCCTTTTACTGTGTCTTCATGACCATGTCCAGTCATTCCCAACCTCGGCCTCCTGATGAGTTCAGTACCTGACTGACTTGCCTCACCGTTAGAAGGATTAGGAGGACATTAATTAGATGAAAGAGCTTTATAAGCTATAGAAAGAGCACGGGAGGATCCGAGAGCAGCAGTACCGGTAACAGCGGGGGAACCAGTGGCAGGTATTACTTTGGCACCGACTGTGATGGGCATCGTGACCGTTCTAAAGCACGTGACATAGACTGATTGATTTACTCAATCAATGCAATGATTACGTGAATTGGTGCCATTACCCCCCCTTTATCTGCAGATGAGCAGTTGATGCTTAAAGAGGTTAAATAACTTGCCCAGAGCATCCAAGAAATAAGGGAAACCAGTCTGCATCCAGTGATTTGACTCTGTGCTCTTAACTACAACACTAAACTAATTTCTGGACTAAGAAATACTTGATTAACCAGATTGTACACAGTTTAAGAACCTCAGTCATGAACCTTTAGCTTGGTAATGGAACGTTAAACAATTTTTCCCTTTGTATTTTTCCCTTTCATCCAGGTTGCCCACATTCCCAAACCAGATGCTTTGTGCTTCGATGACTGCATGCAGCTTTTGGCAGAGACATTCCCATTTGTAGATGACAATGAGGTATTATTACATTTGGTTCACAGCAAAACACAGCTCTGTCTGATATAGCCCATGTGGGTCCCCTTAATGTCTCTCCATTTAAAGAACAAAAAAGGATGAAAACATTTTCAGAGGAAATTTGTCAATGAAACCTTAGCCTAAACATAACTTTACAGACCCCACATAATACAAAACTGAAAATGTTTATTGCTGTGTAGCCAGAAGCATGGATCAGCATAACCGTGGAAACAGGCAGTTGTTGATGAGCAGAATAAGCAGGGTAATGCCAAAACGTGTTCGAATAACAATCTTAATAAACCTATTGTATTTGAAGCACTATACATAGTATTATATAAAAAGATATAAACTCTAAAGATTATTCTTACCCATTTCAAGTTTGCCTTCAAGTGTATAGGATGAAACTAACCAGAAAATAAGAAGTAAATTTTGAGTCGGTTGTGTAAGAAAAAAAGATGTTTCTTTACATAGAAATAGGGGTCATAAGTAACGATACGTAGAACGATGCAGAACCACAGCAGCGCAGCCTCAGGGGTTGGGACAGCGTGTGTCTTGGAGGGCGCTCGCTCACTGCTGGCAGTGGGCTCATGGAGATCCGTGCCTTGTCAATTTTAGGTTTCTCCAGCTACGTTTCAATCACTCGTTCCTGAAGTTCCCAGCCACATCGAGAGCCCAGCGTTTATTGCTCCTAATCAGAATCAGTCAGCGGAACCTCTTATCCTTCAGCTAATGAGTGATTTAGATAATACGCAGCAGGACACTGAGCAAGTTTGGGAGGAACTATTATCCATTCCAGAATTACAGGTAACTAAGATCTAACATAATACATACCAAAGCTGCTATTTTATATTCAGTGCCTTTAAATTAGTCATCCTGGTTATTTATTATTTATATGCCACCTATTCATAGGAAGGACTAGAGGGTGCTTTTAAATCAGTCATGAGAGCTGCCCATGCTCACCTAGATGCTGTGTGAAAGGGCCAGATGGCTTGAGGATATAGATACGTGATACACCTGAAGTCCATCTAGAAACTCGGAAAATAATACAGATGCTTAGGCGTAAATAACTGTTGGAAACGGAGTTATCTCTGACTTAGAGAAGAAAACAGCTTGGAGGAAAATGGGGATGGGGAGTTTTACTCAGATATAGATTATCAGCTCTTGACAGTATTTATCCTTGATTTACATAGTATAAAATTCTTTTCCTTGCAGTGTCTTAATATTCAAAATGACAAGCTGGCTGAGACCAGCACAGTTCCAAGTCCAGAAACCAAACAGGCAGATGCCGATAACAGTTACCATTTCTACTCATTGATCCCTTCACTGGAGAAAGAAGTAACTAACTGCAGCCCACATTTTCTCAGTGCTTTTGAGGATTCCTTCAGCAGCAGCATCCTCACCACAGAAGACCCCAGTCAGTTGACAGTGAACTCATTAAACTCAAATGTCACAATAAACACAGATTTTGGTGATGAATTTTATTCTACTTTCATAGCAGAGCCCAGTAACGACAACAGCATGCCCCCCTCTGCTACTTTCAGCCAGTCACTCTCAGAACTGCTCAACGGGCCCATCGATGTTTCTGATCTATTACTTTGTAAAGCCTTCAATCAAAACCACCCTGAAAGCACAGCAGAATTCAATGATTCTGACTCTGGCATTTCACTGAACACAAGTCCCAGTTTGGCATCACCAGAACACTCGGTGGAGTCTTCTATCTATGGAGACACACCACTTGGCTTCAGTGATTCTGAGATGGAAGAGATAGATAGTGCCCCTGCAAGTGTCAAACACAATGGACCTAAAACACAGCCAGTACAGCCTTCTGGGGATATAGTTCAACCCCTGTCACCATCTGGGGGGCACAGTGCTCCAGTGCGTGATGCCCAATGTGAAAACACACAAAAGAAGGAATTGCCCCAAAGTCCTGGTCATCGCAAAACCCCATTCACAAAAGACAAACATTCAAACCGCTTGGAGGCTCATCTCACAAGAGATGAGCTAAGGGCAAAAGCTCTCCACATCCCATTCCCTGTAGAAAAAATCATTAACCTCCCTGTTGATGACTTCAATGAAATGATGTCCAAGGAGCAATTCAATGAGGCTCAACTTGCATTAATTCGAGATATACGTAGGAGGGGTAAGAATAAAGTGGCTGCTCAGAATTGCAGAAAAAGAAAACTGGAAAATATAGTGGAACTGGAGCAAGATTTGGATCATTTAAAAGATGAAAAAGAAAAATTGCTCAAAGAAAAAGGAGAAAATGACAAAAACCTCCATCTACTGAAAAAACAACTCAGCACCTTATATCTTGAAGTCTTCAGCATGCTACGAGATGAAGATGGGAAGCCTTACTCTCCCAGTGAATACTCCCTGCAGCAGACGAGAGATGGCAATGTGTTCCTTGTTCCCAAAAGCAAGAGGCCAGATGTTAAGAAAAACTAGGTATGGGAAGATCTGACCTTTTCTGAGCTACGGGGGTGTGTATGTGTGTGTGTGTTTATGTGTGTGTGTGTGTGTGTGTACTGTTACGTATACTAAAAGCTCCTACTGTGATGTGAAATGCAGAAATATACTTTATAATTCTATGCAAAGTTATAGTCAAAATTAATGTAGAATATAAAATTTTAAAAGCATTAAATATCAATATGCTGAAATCAGTTTCACATTAACTGCAAACTTAATTTCTTAGAACACCATTTGAGATAGTTTCTGTACACGTGTAAATACTACAAAAAACTCATACTGTTCTTATCTCATTTGTTACATTCATAGATGTGTATGTTTTGACATCTGGCTAAAAGCAAATTGTTGCACAAAACTAACCACTATGTACTTTTTTATAAATATTATATGAACCAAAAAAATGGCCTTTTTTTATATTAAATTGTTTAGCTCTGGCAAAAAAAACACCACCAATTTAGTTGAAAAGCTGGTACTAATAAAGAAATACTATGATTGTTAAATTACTTGTAATTCATTCGAGTTTATTCACAGTATTTTCAATGACAGTACATTAACACATTTAGGTGTTTTGCGTTTTCAGAATGTTTTCTCAGAGATATAGAAAAATGAAGTGTATCAAGAAGATATTACTTCCATAGCAGGTACATTTCAACCAAGGAAAATGGTCTATCTTGACATGAAAAGTATGTACAAGGTATTGTTTAAAGTACAGGGGACAGCCCTGGCTGGTGTGGCTCAGTGGGTTGAGTGCTGGCCTGTGACCCAAAAGGTCACAGGTTTGAGTCCCAGTCGAGGGCACGTGTCTGGGTCGTAGGCCAGGTTGCCTGTTGACGGCTTGAGAGGCAACTGACTGATCGATATGTCTCACACACGTTGATGTTTCTCTCCTTCTATCCCTCCTTTCCCCTCTAAATAAAATCTTTAAAACAACAAAAAAAAATTGAAAACCTGTCCTCCTGGAACTAGTGGACAAAGGCAGCAAATGTACTACACTATACCAGAAAGGACTGGGAAGACCAGCAAAAAAAAATTACAATTTAAAATAGGGTTGTAAATAGTAAAAGCCTTATTGAGATGGCAGCATTTGAAGGTGTGGGAAACCCATTCCATTAGCTAAAAAGAATATTTCAGACAGGACACAGCAAGTCCAAAGTCTCTGAGGCCTGTTAGAGAAAAATACTCTATACATGGCTGACAATGGAGGGGAAGGAGGGAAAGGAAAGGTGTGCGCGTACAGGAGCGAACATGGCAGAGCCTTGTTAGTCCTTTGTAAGGACTTTGGCTTTTACCTAGCAAAGTAGGGAGCTAGTGGAGGTATCAAGTCGGAGTAACATCTGACTTGTAAAAGTCTACCCTGCCTTGTGTGTTTAAGGTAGCCCAGAGAGTAAAGGTGGGAGCAGGGAGACCAATGGGGAGGCTCTGCAATAATGACATTAAATATGGTGGCGAGGTCTAGGGTGACAAGTGAGGAGGCATTGAACCCTACACATTTCAAAGGTAAAAATGGATTTTCTGACAGATTCGACGTGGGGTAAAGGTGGAATTGAGGACTTGAGTATCTTTAAGAACTGAGTTACCTGGAGATGACTAGAGGGAGATCTAGGTGAGAAAAATCCGCTCAGTTAAAATCAGTGTAATCTCACCCTGGCCGGTCTGGCTCAGGGGATTGAGCTCCAGCCTGCAAACCAAAAAATATCAAGCACAAAATCAAGGCCCCATCAAAGGTCTGAAAATCTTTCTGCTGCCCAATAAACCAGTCACAGCATTGACTCATTATTTCCTCACCTAATCCAATGTGTCTTGGTTGGTTTTGTCTTTAAGTGGGAAAATGATTCGTTTGAGGGTTAAGCACGTTTAGAATAAGCACTGTGTGCAAACTATTCACTGAGAGCACTATTATCTATTAGAATTACAGTGCAGAGGTCCACAGGCTCTAGAGCCAGATTGCCTGGGCTTGTTGCTGCTATTCAGGAATGGCCTTCAGTAACTCAAAGCGATCAGGTTCATTTCCTCATCTACAGCAGAGGTGTCCAACCGCGGCCCAGGATGCCTATGAATGTGGCCCAACCCAAAATTGTAAATTCACTTAAAACATTTGAGTTTTGTGATTAGGTCGCCATGTAGTCCATGTGCGATCCAAGACAACTTCTAGTGCAGCCCAGAAACGCCAAAAGGTTGGACACCCCTGATTGTAGAGGGTAACGTTGAGCTACTCCAAAGTGCTGTACCTAAGCACTCTTATCAATGGGCACGTTCTCATTTCCTTTAGCCTTATTAGGATACCTTTTGGTTGCAAGTGAAAGAAACTAAAGCCAAATTAGCTTTATTGAAGTTGACTTTTGAGGACTGGAAAGCTAAGGCTGAAACTGACTTAAAGGTAATGGATCTAGGCATTCAAATGGGAAGACTGTACAGACTTTACTCGTGTGGTTAAGAATTTCCTCCCCAAAAGAAAAAGAGGAAAGTAAAAAATAGAATTTCTTCCTGTAATGGTGGTGATGAAATCCCTGGAAATTTTTCCAACCTCCGAAGAAAAAAATTTCAAATCTTGAATAAAGCACCCCACCCTGAACAAAACTGGGGGTGGGGGTTGGAGGGTGATGGTTATTCCCAGCAGCCCCATCTAGCAGACCTGGAATCGGCTAGCACCTACTACAAGGAGAGTACTGCAGGACAAACCAGAAGAGACTTCGCTTGCCTCAGAACAGACGCCGTTTTAATAAACCTAATTTCAAAGTATCTTGTCATTCATGTAACCTAAATATTAAATTACCATATTGCATATGTATTAGAAACTAAATCATTTAAATATGGGCACACCTCAGTTTATTGTGCTGGCTTTACTGCACTTCAGGTATTTTACAAATCAAAGACCCTCCACATTACAGCTCACTTAATTGCAGTGCTGTGGAACCAACCCACAGTACCTGAGGTCCACCTGTGTAAAACAAATCCTAATTTGACTAAAAAAAGTAAAGCTGAGCTTTCATCTCATCTGATTTGAAATACTTGAGCTTTTTGTCCTAAGGTTAAATTTGCCTAATTGCTAAACTTGAACTCTTAAAAATATGTACCCATGCCTTTTACATTGAGGTATCAAGCATTTCATTACGAACCTTATTTGCATGATACTGCATTTCACATACAAAACATTTTTTCTTGGTATTTCTCAAGCCTGTGCTTCAGAGGGACAGGATGGCTGCTTTAATGTATCTACAGTGCTTCCTATACTTCCACTTTTAAAGCCTCCAACACATATAATTCTTTCCTATTTTAAGGCTACTTATCAGGCCAGTTTCAGCTTTCACTTAACACTAGAACTGGAAAAACTTAAAGCCATAGAAAATTTAATCATTTGTTGAGACACTGGCATAATCAACTTTACTATCCATTAAAACTTTAGATACGGTTCAGGATATATTACTGAAAAGTATTTTCAGGGATCATGGACCAGGAACTAGGTTTAGCTCTATCCATTTTCACATTTAATCAACAGACTCAATGAGGGCGGGTATTATCTCCATTTACACACACAAAAAAGTTGGGTAAAAACATTTTTAATGTGGACAGAACTTAGGGCAAAGAATTTTGGTTGGGACAAAGTTACTTTATTTTCAGTAACATCAGTGAAATTTAACATCATTGTGGGTAGCAAACCACATTGGTACACACAGTACTTGGACTATCATTAAAAAATCACAATTTTAACATCGCATTACTGTCGCCAAATTTCAAAACACCATTAATATATTGCTTCAGTCATTAAACCCACCCACCACAAGCCTCCTTTAATGTTTAAGGCACAACTAAGTCAAATTTCATGTTTTGTAACTACTTTCAATGTAAATGCTACTTTAATGCATATGAAATCAACATTCTAAGGGGTCAGTTAGCAACACCAAACTGCCCAAGGGTAACATGGCATAAAGTTTTAAGCCCCAAATAATTTGCCCAAGCTGTTTTTAAATTTTTCACTGATAGGCAAATCCTATTTGCATCTCTCCCAGTACCTATTAAATGAAGGTGTAGTAGAGGATAACAGATTAAATCCAAATGGAAGATGTATCAGAATTCCTTCAATGTAAACTTGCAAGGGTGTCCAACCTGCAGCCCCAGACAGCTGTGAATACTGACCCCCACAAAATTGTAAATTTATTTAAAACACTGAGGTTTTTGTGATTGTTTTGCAGTTTAATGTGTAGCCCAATACAATTCTTCCAGTGCAGTGCACACACCAAAAAAGCAGACATCCCTATAAAGGATGTAGGTTTACTCAACATTTTGACAGAACACATGAACTACATTTAAAAATTACCCTGTAACCTTCAGATATGGCTAACATTTATAAAATTCTTCCATGATACGCCCTGACTCCTGTAAGGACTGTAGTGAAATTTAACCATCTTTTAAAGCTGTCAATACCCTTATACATCACATCACTTTTCCGGGTGGAGGAACTGAGCAAAAAAGACAAAAAAAACCTCATAGATGCGAACAGTGTGGTGAATTGATAGGGGAGAGGCGTCGGTGGGAACACAAGCCACGGGGGGGGGGGGGGGGGTGGAAAAATGCAGTAACTCACTCCATCACCTACCAGTTCTAGCAGTTGAATATGGGTAAATTCCTGTTTCTTGGCTGGTTTTCAGTACTTTGCCCATTTCAAGTTCTCAATACACCTTTATTACCTATTGTTTTTAAAATGTAATGGCCAAATGTCCTTTTAACTGTTACCTTACTCTCTCAACTCTTGGCACTTTGAATTCTGTATTAAATCAAATTCATGTAGTAACAGGACCCCACTTTTGCAAAGGTTAACACTGATCTTCACAACACTGGTCTGTTATGAGGACATGTAGGTTTCCAATTTATCCTGTCCAAGTATCTGTTTCATGTAACAACGCATTTTCATGAGAAAGTAAATAGCCGTATTCCCTGGGAATCAAAACCTGAGTTGTTTTGGAATTCAAGTATTAAACTGGGATTGTAGTTACAGCTGCATAATACAAAACCACTGCATATACTGTGACACTATGTTGAATACTTGAAAATGTGTTGCAATCCTGTTAACTGTGTTAAGCCCCTACATGCCTTTAGTTCCATTTCACTTACCATGATCTTAACAGCTGTTACTGCTAAGAAACCATATACTTGTTATATTTTTATATCCCTTTTAACAAAATCCTACACCTCACACAAATTTTAACAGCCATTACCTTTAAATTGCAGTACTGTAGTTTAAAACTACTTTATTTCATGAAAGTTTTGCCCAACCCACCCTCATAGCACAGAATATTCATTCCATCAACTCACTGTCCTAAAGAAACACGGCACTTCCAGCATCTGGAAGGAACCCCCTTCCATCCTCCCCAGTTTTTTTCACTTGCTCCATCGTCCTCTTCTCATGTTTTGACACTGCAGTTATCCTTAACTACTGATACTTTCCCCCACGTATCTCATATATGCTGTCCTTTTAAAGGCTTAACTCTGAAGTGGCAGAAGCTTTTAAACATAATTTTCCAGGCCTATTTCCCAGCTCAATGTTTTCTCTTTGAACAGAATCCATTTTTAAAATTAACTGACATGTAAAGGCTCATTCCAAGTTTCCTGTTTTTATTACTTACTAGTAAAGTATGTCATATTCACCTATATTTAAGTCACATGAACAATGTGAAGTGACAAAACAACACACACATTTCTAAAAATATTTTAATGAAAAAGTTATCTTTCTGTAAACATTTCAGTATCCTACAAATGAAACATTTGAATCCATTACAGACCACCTCTTAAGTCTTAAAAATCAGAAAACATTGATATTTAAAATTGTGAATACTTATAAGCTAACAATCCTTACGTTACCCCTGTAACATTAGCATGCTTATTCCCTATTTTGTGACATCAAATTGTGACTTCTGTACTTGAACTCCAAACCAAGGTTATCTCAATTGTTTAGTTCCTTATTACCCAGTTTCTTCTTTAGGACATGAGTGGAAATGCAGGGTTTGTTTAGAATGTAGAAAGCAGTAACCTGTGAGTTGGTGACAAAACCAGTGAAGTTTGCCTTGACCATTTCCCTTATAAACTTTACTTGTGCTTGCTATGACTTAAGAGAATCCTATTTTTCAGAAGTGACAGTGTAACTACATTTAATCACTATTTCATAAAGAAATGAAATGGGCTGAAAAGAATGCCTTATTTAAAATGTTTCCTTAGGGAATTTGCTTCACTAAAACTGTTTTTAAAAAAAAGCCATCAATACTGTGTTCAACACTTCAATTCTGTAGTGATGTGTAGAAATCTAGTCCTCCTAATTTTGATAAACCAGTCATTTTGAGAACCCTGGCAAACGTACTGCTGTTTGTCGAAGAATCTCATTTATTTGTATTTTAGAAACAAGTTTTATTTTAAACATCCATCCCTCAGGTGTTTTTGTTTTTTTGAGTGAACATCAAATCTCAGTTTTTGACAAGCCTTTTGGGGGCAGCAATAGCCCTTATGAAATCAGCATCTAATCTCACCAGTAATTTTAATTATTCTTTGGGAAATTCTTTTAAAAAGGAGTGCTAGCATTAATTAGGCCCCCACTGCTTCTGGTTAACAGGTTAAATGAGACTAAAAACCGGAAAAAAGGACCAAGTATTTATCCTTTCGTCCAAATAATCCTGATTTTATATGCAAGAGAACTTAATACATGAACCACTTAATGGAGACTATTTTGATATTTGTATCATCTGGCAATTTAAAAAGTTCATTCCAAGATGTTTTTCCTAACCAAGGACTGGCAGCTTTGTGTTTGTTAAAACTGAGCCATGCTTATTACAAAAATCCTGTAAAACTGGAGGTTACTCCCTTTCTTTCTCATCAAAAACTGACTTTACCCTCAAGACACCAACAATGAATTGTGTACACAGGGCCAGATCTCACTCGATGTGAACACTCACGGTTATTCCAGGAAAAAATTTAAGCTGTTTAAAATGTTTTGGATGTGGTTCCAAAATAAAAGTTTCAGCCAAACAGCTTTGCTAATTAATGTACCTAACAGTTTTAAATGTGTAATAGAAATTTGTAGGGAAACAAATGGTGTCATCAGGTTTTACTGTGAGCTACAAACCTTACCCAGCCAGAAACGTTCGTATTTAAGATGGTAGGAAAGACATTCCTCATTTAGGCAAGTAGGGTTCTCATTCAACCTGCAAATCAAAAAGATTACTCTTACCTTGCTTTACAAAAAATTACTCTTTAATTAGTGAAAAAATTCAAATTCAAGCCTTACCTAATGCTTATTGCCCTTCCTTGCAGGTCTAAATGCTAGACCTAGTGACTGTGGCAACTATCTCTCATTGATGTTCCAAAAGGCGAAGAGCTCCTTCCTGCTAGACTTTCTTCGATATTTCAGTTGTAATAAGCAGATTTAACTAGCTTTTGGAAAGTTGCTCACTATCACCATAGTATCTTATGCCTTCACTTCTCTGTAGTTGAAGCTCTTGCTGCTGCCTTGTCATTCTTTATTTATGCTGACTTGTCCATACTCAAAGGCTGCTGAAGTCCTGTCTTAGTGATTCTCCTTTGATCCACACTGTGCTTAAAAAGCACATCTTAGGTCCTTTAAAGCTGGTTAAATCGCTCTCCTCATGGCTTACTTTTCCACACTGTTCACAAAAACTAAGCTAATACAACTTATAAACAGGTCACATACACAGATTTCACCTGCTTATAGGTTGCAAACATCAACTTACTGAAAATATTTTCACTATTAAACTAGTTCCAGAACACAGAAAGTTTGTTAACAGTACAATTAATTTCATATACCATTATAGGATACTGTCAAGGTTGTGTCAAACAATTCCACAAACACAGAAACAGGAAATGTTAATCTCCCCCCAGTCCTTCAACCCATATTATATGAATAAAAGAACTTGAGACAATTTAGCTCAGTTTTAATAAAATGTTTCCCAAGCATTATTTTGACCAGGTACCCACGTTTAAATTATAAACATTGACAGTGTCCATTTATATAATAACCACACTTGAAATTGTTAAAGACTTAACCATTTTCTATTATTTGCCTATTTTCTACACTGCTTATTCACATACGTCCATTGACAAATGGCATGTTGTCTGTTACATTTATTGGTTTGTGAGTGTTTTCTGGAAAACTGCAGTATCTGTGAAGACCGATTTCCATGCTGGCATTGCATGCATCCAAATATTAATGCACAGAGGCACAGAATTAGAGCAACAAGAGAGCATATGCAAACACTAGCACGCCCCATTCCCCTTTTTATTGCTTCTTTTGCTTAGTATTTCTTAAAAACGAAAATAAGAACCTTGAATTCAACGTTCAACTGCCAAAGAAATAGTAACAGCAGGGCACATACTTAGGGCTTGAATGAAATTTTAAGCACTAGGCTGGCGCGAAACAGTAGACAATGATGTTTTTATATATATATATATATTTATACGACCTCATTACCTAAAAATCTCACCCAGGGTCTTCCAAACAAATTAGCTTGTATCAACATGATTTAGGTTCAAGCATACACATAGGGTAACAGTGTGTTCTTTGGGATTTTGAATAGAACTCAAGACGATCCAAATTTAAATTCAGGTCTTTGGAAAGTGGAAATTATACTAAGCAACTGTGGTCACACTTCTGCATTAAGTCATGTGCATCAATTTCATCTAGACTGTCCTTTGTTCCATACAGTAAAATGTAGAGGGTACAAACAGGAAAAGCATGCCAGCCAGTTAAGGGTTCAACAATGCATGATTTTATTCTCTTGCTTTCAGAGTTTGTATCAAAAAAATATATATTAAACCAAGGAAAAATAACTGAAGATTTATGGGCCTCTTGTGCTTTAAAAAGGAAAAAAAGGTAGCCACCAATTTGCTCAGATACAGCAGGCTTAGTGGTCCTGTATTTTGAATAGTTTTTTAAGAATGACTTTTAATGGAGGAGAAAAGGGAAAACATCCACTGCCTCTTTGTAGAGTTAAAAGAGGGCAGTAGACATTCTTTACACCCAAATAAAACCATGGAAGCAGTTAACATGTGACCAAGGTGAATGTAAAATGGAGATGTTCTAAACACAGCTAGGACTCTCAGCAAAGCTAACACACTAAAATCATGATTACATTTGGGGGGGAAAATGCACAAAACCAAATAGGAATTTTGAGATTTTTTTTTCATTTGAAGGTAAATCTTAATGCTATTAAAGTCACAAATATGCTAATTTAAATACCCAATTCTATTTATCTAAAACACACAATGCAAACATACAAATTATCTATTCTCTCCACATGTCAGAGCCCATTCATTTCATGGTTTGGAAATGGGGAGAATAGATTCCCCTTAAACTGCAAGTCAGCAGGTGTTTCTTTACAGTTAACTTTAGCAAAATTCATACAAAATAGTGATTAACAATGATCTTCTTTACTTGTTAACTCACAAGGAAACACCTTCAAAACTGCATTTTGTTAAAGTTTCTGTACTAAAATGTAGAAAAACTGAACTACACAAATATTGAAAAGTTAAAAATTCCTTAATTTTTTATTCCTGGTACCACTACCACAATTTACAGGGCAATATACCTGATGTAATGAAAAGAAAAAGAAAAAGACAAAGCTACAACAGATAAAAGACCTCAGGAATGTACATCTAATTGACACTACATTGCATTAATCAATAGCTGCACTTTTTGCAAACTGTGGCTATGACAGTCCTGAACAAGAAGGGTTTTTCCTGTTTAAGCTGCAGTAACTTTTCTGACTATGGATCATCGTTCCTCCTGTGGCAGATTTTTACAGTTCCTCTAATGCATTTGGGACGACTGTCTCAAAGTAACCTGCAGCTTTCCTGACAACTCCTCGCTCTCTCTCCTGCTAAGAACTGTAGCCTGTTGAATAATACAGGATAAAAAAATTATTACACTCAGTGAACAGTTCCACATATGTTTTTATCATCACAATAAAAATTTAAAAGATACCTACCCTTTTCTGCTGAGTTTTTAGAACCTTCTGCTACCATATCCACCACTTCCACCACCAGATCCATAACCACCTGGAAATATACATGTAGAGGATTTTAGAATATACATGTTTTAAATTAAAAAGGGTTATAAAGTTTGATGAAAAAAAAATTATTTACCACCATAGGGGCTGCCCGAGCTTCTTCCACCAAAACTGCCCCCCCCTTTCATGGGTCCATAATTTGACTGCTGTTGTCCACTGTAATTTCCAAAATCATTATAGTTCCCACCACCACCGTAGTTCCCTGAAATTACAAAGTTATTATTTGTGGTTGACTGTAACACAATTATGTCCCTCTTTCAATATGTATACATATACATATGCATACACACACACACACATCACCTTAGTAATCATAGCGAGCTCTACAACTTATGCGCAACCCTTTGAAAAGAGATTTTATAGAGCTAGCAAACTCCCCACCATGGAGGTCCACAAGCAAACCTCAGACATGGCTAAGAAAACCAAGAGTGAAAAGTGGTCCCAAAAGCATGTATCTAGATAGCTGTCACATTGTTTGAGGTGACACTGTGTATGTTCTCTCCTTTATACGACTAAAACCATAAAAATTGTCCCTTTAATCCACTTTAATTCTCACACAATGACTTTTAAATCAGTGACAGATGATATTCTACGTTAACTGTTAGGGAAAACCTTCTGTTGTTGCTCAGTGCATGCATAGCAAAGCTCTTCAGAGGGTATCACAGAGTAAAGATGCAATCTTCCTTATAATTTATACAGCACTGTGACACACTCAAGATTCAAAGCACTTTCATCATTTAGACACCAGATGACATCCTATTCATTTTAACCATTTTCTCTTCCCATTTGTCCAGTCTAAAAGTGCCTAACGTTAAGTGAAATTCTGGCAATAAATACATTCCCAATAAACACTCATTTCAAGTTCAAAATAAAGAGCTGAAAACATTTTACCAATTTACTAAATAAGAAGCACAGTAAGAAAATTCAGTTCAATTACACATCAGCTGAGTATCCTAATTTTACACAACATGAAATGTGACCAAATGCTACATTTTAACTTTTAAACATCTATAATGGAACTATATAAACAATATTTAAAACAAGTGAAAACTTACCACCAAAATTCCCCCCTTCATTGTAACCATCATAGCCTCCACCGCCACCATATCCACCACCTTGGTTCCCATACCCTGGTCCACCGCCATAGCCTCCTCTACTACTATAACCAGGACCACTGCCGTAGTTGCCACCTAAAAACAATCAGGTCACACAAAATACAAATGTACAGAAAGTCAAGTTATTGAACTACAGTTTATATTACATTTAAGCCACTGGAAAATAAGCCCATGAATTGATTTAGCATTAAAAGCCTGGTTAATGAAACCAAAAATCTGGGCGAGGAAGAATTTAAAATAAATGCAGAAACATTTTGATATTAATTTTCTCTCCAAGTCTTTCAATTTCACTAAGGAAAACAGTAAACAGTCTCCTGAGATGTAACAGCAGCTCAACTAACTAGTACAATACACCTTATTAGCCAAAAATAATTAGCTGTATGTTAAATTTTTGAAGCAAAGTCTAGCCTCCTGTATTAGTCCAGAAGCATACTTTAACCATTAGGCCACTCAAGTTTTGACTGAAATTAGGAAAAAATACTTAATTTTCAATAAAGCATAGGAAACAAAGTCAAAATACCAATTTTTTAAAAAAACTCACCATCACCTCCAAATCCATTATATCCACCATCACCTCCTCCATAACTACCTCTGCTGCCACCTCCACCATAGCCTCCTGAGGAAAATCAAGGTGTGAATTAACATTCAACTTAACAATAAATTTTAGGTAGACATGTACTTAGGAATAAGATAACCTAACCATCCTACCTCTTCCACCAAAGTTTCCACCACGGCCAAAGTTACCTCCACCACCTCCAAAGTTTCCTCCACGGCCCATAAAGTTGCCAGATCCACCTCCACGGCCTTTAACACAGGCAAATAAGATCTTTAGGAACCTTACAAATACCACTCATGTTCACTGTTTAAATATATGTGGTACTACTCACCTCTCTGCGATCCAGCAGACTGCATTTCTTGTTTAGAAAGGGCCTTTTTCACTTCACAATTATGCCCATTAATAGTGTGGTATTTCTGAACTAAATTTTTTTAAATCAAATAAACAAAAGTTATTTGATGTTTGAAAAAGCACATATAAATGATATCCTTCAGCACTATATAACATTAAAATAGTATCAGGAAGGTAGTGACTTCTGAGTGGGTATGAGGGAATGTTCTGGGATGTCAATGTTTATTTCTTGATCTGGATGCTAGTTACACAAGTGTAACCATGAAAACTGAACCATATACTTTATATCCCATTGTGCACAATGCAGTATTATATGCAATTTAGTAGATTTAGAGTAGAAAAAAACCACTTCTGCTTTCTTATTCATGTTCCTACTTACCAACAATTTTATCAACTGTATCATGATCATCAAAAGTTACAAAAGCAAATCCTCTTTTTTTCCCACTCTGCCTATCTTCCATAACTTCTATGGTTTCAATCTTGCCATACTTTTCAAAGTAGTCTCTCAAATTATATTCTTCTGTATCTTCTTTAATACCTCCAACAAAAATTTTCTTCACTGTTAGATGGGCACCAGGCTTTACAGAATCCTGTAAGTAAAAAAACATGTAAGCCAAAAAACCCACAAATTTTTACAGTTTAACTTGTTATACAACATGGTATTAAAATACCTCTCTAGAAACAGCTCTCTTTGGTTCCACTACACGCCCATCAACCTTGTGTGGTCGAGCACACATTGCGGCATCCACCTCTTCAACACAAGAGTAAGTCACAAAACCAAAGCCCCGGGAACGTTTTGTTTGGGGGTCTCTCATCACCTATAAAATAAAAAATGTAAAGCACTGAAACACACCTCTACAAGTCCCCTACCCCTAAGAACTTTTTTTGTTTCTTTAATAACTTACCACACAATCTGTGAGCGTGCCCCATTTCTCAAAATGTTCTCTTAAACTATCGTCTGTAGTTTCAAAGCTCAAACCACCAATAAACAGTTTTCTCAACTGCTCTGGTTCCTTTGGATCGTGGCCCTAAGAAAACAAACCAATACATTTTAATTATTTGTTTTAGTAGGTGAATTGCTAAGGTGCACAAGCCTTTACTCCGCTATGAATAGACTCAACATCACAATCCATACCATTAAAACTTTGTTCAGTTAAAAATTGGAGTAGGATTATACAAATCTCATCAGTTTATTAAAGGAACCAAAATACCAAGAAAACCTATAACCAGCCTTTCTAATATTAACACTTCAACTAAAATGAAGTCCAAGGGAATCCTAGAATCAAAAGTCCCTTAATTTTAAGCTACAAAAGTGCCTGAAGATAAATCATTTCAGATGCTAAGAAACTGCTTTGTAAGAAACCAAAGTGTTGCAGAAGCAGTGTTTCATCCATGCCATTTCTTTTCCTGTTAAGCCTTTAATTTTAAACCACAAAGCAGTTGAGATGCAACTTAAAAGTCTCAAGCGGCAAATTTAAAGAAATCCAGTGGTTACAAGCAAATCAAGGTAATATTAAAGTTACTCCTCAAAAAAAAAAAAAAAAAAGAAAGAAAAAAGGCTAGGCTCCCCCCAACCCATCTTGTTTCTTCATAACTTTCTGTAACCAATTTGTGATAGGTTATGTCCTGCAAAATTACCTACATGCACTCGTATCACTTGGCAATATTTTCAAATACATCTTACAGGGTCACAAAAAGGGCAAGCTGCACTTAAAATCTATGCTTGAAAAGAACGACATTTTTAGATGTGGACTGAACTGTTTTACAATTTAACCAGCTCTTTAATAAATTACATAAATTGCCATTTAATCCATGCATTAAGATATCGTTCATCCAAAGTCATTACATTACATAGAAGGGCTCACATTTACATTCTAATGTCTTCCTGTGTCTTCTAAAGGTACAGATCTTAAGGCATTTAATACGAAGAGACTGTCCCATGCTAGAAAAAAATGTTAAAGGGTTAATAGCCTAAAGCATTCATTCTCTTTATTTTTTCAAGTCCTGGTTAAACGGGCTTAATCAGCAACAACAAATCGACTTAAAAAAAAAACAAAAACCCACCACACCCCACATAAATTATCTCAAGCACATGAAAAATTCATCTGTGGTTGCAGTACTCTAAAACAAACACCCAAGAAGCTATAACCAGCACCGTGGGGAAAATAAATAAAATTTCCAGCCCTGACCAGGAAGCTCAGTTGGTTAGAGCATAGAACACCTCCCTGCTATGCCAACGTTGCGGGTTCAATCCCCGGTCAGGGAACATGCAAGAATCAACCAATGAACGCACCAGTAAATGAAACAAACTGATGTTTCTCTTTCTCTCAAATAAATAAAAATAATTTTCAAACGTGGCTGGGTAGCTCAGAGCGTCCTCCCAATATGTCAACCCACAGCTGTGGGCTCCGTCTCTGGTCAGAACGCACACAAGAATAAACCAATGAATGCATAAATGAAAGTAACAAATTCATCTCTCCTTCCCCTCTATAACCAGTAAGTCTTTTTCAAGCTACTTTACGATGGGATAAAAATATGTATAATTCCAAGTACATTAGCAAGAATAGATCAGAAGAGTATTATAAAGAAGCAAACTTCTAAAATTTTATTTTCAACTGGATGCTGACAATTAAAATTTCGTCGCCCTGAGTCTGTAAGGCCTAGGCAGGCGCGAACAGAACTTCAGGAAAAGCACCGCGCCCTAAGATTCCTGGCCATTTGCGGTATTTTATGCCAGGCCGCCTCCTCCCTCTTCCTTCCAATCCCGCGCTCTCTTTCTCGGCGGCGGCCATTGCGGGCCAATGCGCCATTTCGTAACGCGGCAGCGGATCAATGTCAATGTGGCCGCCGCCCGCCTGCTCGCTCTCCCGGATGTGCCTGCTCGTTCCCTCCCCTCCCCCCCCATCTCCTCCCAACCGCTCCCGCCCAGGCCCGCCATGCCTCCCTCGGCCTCAAATCCGAGACTGCGCGGCCGGTGGGCCAGCTCCCCTCCCGAGACCTCCCCAGCCACGCCGCACCTCCGAAGGGCCACCAGTGCAGCCGAAAGAGAAAACGAGGCGGGTGAGAGGCCCCGAGGAGGCCTCCGAGGCGCATTCCCTTCCCCCTCCCACCGCCCGTCTCAACGCAGAGCGCGGGACCGCCGATCAGTCCACCCGGCCTCCCCGCTCCCACCAAGCCAGGCCCCCTACACCGGCCACTACCCATCAACCCCCCCGCTCTCCCCCTAATACCTCCTCCCCCCGGCGGCGGCGGCGACGGCCGGAGTCGGGCTGGGGGCGACCGGGCGGCGGTTTTACCTCCATTTTGAGATCGGACTCGCCTCTTCCAACTCGAGTTCAATATGGGACCGAGAGGAAGAGGCGGGGCCACTCGTCACGTGACGCTTTTCCGCGCGCCGCCGGCCTGGTGGAGGAGGGGCGAGGCACGGGAGGGGCGTGGCCAAATGGGCGCGAAGTGGGACTGGGTGAGCGGGTTGGCGGGCGGAGGGCGGGGGCGTGGCAGGCCGCGGGAGCGCGCACGCCTCACCAACAACCAGTGCGGCGGCGCCGCCCTTGCCGCGGTTCGCGCCCGGGCGGCTGGGGGGGACGTCAGATCGTGTTCAACCAATGGCGTGCACACACGTCGAGAGAACTCCGCGTGACCGCGCGTCACCGGAAAAAAAGGCCTTTCCTTTTCTTCTCGCGCTTCTTTCCCCTCCCCCACGTAGTCTTCTCGGTCTCAATATCCGAATTCATTCCACTGATCCTGTCTGCATGAAACCATAGTTATATCCTGGACGCTAAGGTTACTATAAACACCTCTCGACCCCCTTGGCTTTTCCTCCTTTGTTTTCAAATGCGGGGAACCAGTGTCTGTGACAGCGACGCTCCTCGAAGGGCTAGTACTACCTTAGATACTGATATATATGAATCATGAGCACTTTGGAAAGGCCTCTAAACGCGGCTGACACACTGAAATTTTACCCTTAAGGAGCGGAGGCAAGACTGGTCGAGGTCAGTTCGTTAGGTACTCACTCATCTGAAATCTGTCAGCACTTTTTTTTTTTTTAACACTTGTAGTTGCTGTGGGAAGAGCTGAAGCAACATTTCTGGGGGATGGAATTCAGGGAATTGACTGATTTACAATTAAAAGTAGGGTTGCCAGGTATGGTACCTATTGGCTAGTGATCTAATTGTGTTGTGAAGAATAATGGACGAGATCAATTAAAAACTCAAAAACTAGAGTTGTAATCCTTTCTCCGCCTAGCTAAGTAATTTTAAATCATTTGACCTTACTGAGCTTCAGTTGCATTTTTTTGCCCTGTATTTTAACGAAGCAGTCCATACAAAGCTCCTTTAAAACCCATCAGGCTTTCCCTTGGAAAGGTTAGAAATTTAGCCAATTATATTGTAAATTGTTTTTAAAACTGTGTTAACAAATGGGAAATGGTCTGTTTGGAGCTTGGAAAAAGGTAGCACAAAAATAAAAATTTGTTAATGTTTATCCAGCATTGCCCAAGAAACAGGTGTTTTATTTGGCAGATATGAACAAAAGGTACTTTGTTCCAGGGCAGAAACCAGTCACCAGTCCTTAATATAACTTGGACAAAATAAGCCTCCAAACTAGCCTCCTCCTGTTGCCCTGATTCCAGTATCACATGCAAACTGTTATGTACTCTGCTTTTCAAGTACTCCTGATACCCAGCAACAGTACTTGAGACCCTGGAAATTTATACACTTAGGGTCTCATTTACTTATCAGCTTCGGTCCTGGCCGGTGTGGCCCAGTGGGTTGGAGCATTGTACCTTAAACTGACAGGTCACCAGTTTGATTTCGGGTCAAAGCACATGCAGGGATTGTGGGTTTGAGCCCCCTGGTGTGGGCATGAATGAGAGGGCAACCCATCCTTGTTTCTCTCTGGCATGGATGTTTCTCCCTCCCTCCCTTCCTTGCTCTCTAAAATCAGTGAAAAAAATGGCCTCAGCCCTGGCTGGTGCGGTTCAGTGCACAGGCCTGGGAACCAAATGGTCACCAGTTGGATTTCCAGTCCAGGCACGTGCCTGGGTTGTGGGCCAGGTCCCCAGTTGAGGAAGTGGGAGAGGCAACCAATTGGTGTTTCTTTCCCTCTTTTACTCCCTCCTTTCCCCTCTCTCTCAAAGTAAAAAAAGTCTTTTTTTAAAAATGTCCTCAGGTGAGGATAAAAAAAATATGTCAAGCCTTCTTGAGCTTGAGTACCATGAAAGGATAACTTCATTCAAGTTATTCATGTCATGGATAACTAGGTTTCTGATTCAGTTTTGAGTATGTAGAAACAAGTTAAAGACTTCAGGAAGATGGTATTCACACCAAAGTATACAATGAGAAACTGCAAGGGTGATCCTGAAAAACTGATCACATGGCATGTTGTGTAGGTGTTTTGTAACAAATTATTTTTACTCAATAACTTCTGTTACTCTTCTTCTTTGAATTGTATTAATTCTTAGGGTACTTTGAGAAATGATGGGGGATGGGATACTAAGTACTTCCATCTAGGAACATGGTGTGTCAGTCCATTTATTCAGCTCTTTGTCTTTGAGTAAAATGTGGATTCTTCCCTTTGGATTCCTCCAAATTTATTGTTCATCCAGACTCTCTGTGGTTTTTAGACATTAACTATTTTTCATGCTCTTGTCTAAGTTTATCCCCAGTTCTGTGGCCACATGGTATCTCATGCAAATATCCCTGCTTGAGTTCTTGACCCTGTTGGATACAAACTTGATGCCCAGCTGCTGTCTACCCTTGTAGCCTTGGCTCTTTTGCAAATGTGTGTGTGTGTGTGTGTGTGTGTGTGTGTGTGTATGAGAGAGAGACAGACAGACAGAGACAGAGAGAATATGGGGTACGGAGCAGAGGACAAGGATCTTAAGGTGGGATGGAGTGGCAGACAGATTTTTACAAATAACCTATATTAGGGCCTGTCAACTTCTTTCATGTCACAACACACACGGGAAATAATTTTTGTACAGCACATGAAGTTGCATAAACAAAGACATTTAGAGGCATCTAAATGATGGTTGGTTAAAAAATTTTTTAACATTTTCTTTATATAATTATGCTAAAATAAAATACATTTTTAAAAATAAAAGATATTAGAGAAGATATTAAAATTAAATTTTAATAAAACTTTCAAATAAAATTTTTCCACATTTTTTAATGATTATCTTGAACTTGTTCCTATGAATATATTTTGATATTAGGTTTTATGCTTTGAAGGCTTTATGCAGTTTCTGATCTCGACTTTTTGATGATAAACTTCTCGTATTCTGAATAGCAATTATCAGTGAGGGACTCTGATCACATAAGTAGGTGATAAAATATTTAAAATGATTTTATACCATCATTCAGAATTTACAATTGTAATTACACTTAAGGAATAGCAACTCTTCCTTTTATTGACAAGTGTACTGTTGCAGTTTCGTATGATAATACAAATGGATTTCAAGCCAATAGTGCATTTTTATATCAAGATTTCCACAGTGAAAGTGTAGCTTTGAGAACATACATGCATTGCCAACAGCTAGTCTGAGGGCCCTTAAAAGAATACATCACCACAAGTGGATAGAAAAAGCCGCTATATGTAAAGACAAATAATTAAGGGCATTACCTGGAGCTGAGCCCACCAGGAACCCCACTCAGACTAGGTTCCTCTCTCAGGCCCTAACAGATTACTCCTGGAGCTGTGTGCTGTCCGCCTTGGGCACATAGAACACAAACTTGTGCATTGGCTCCAGAATGTCTGGTCCATGCTGGGCTTTGCAGATAGATGCTCATGGGGCAGGCAACCTTGGCCATGCACAGACAGCAGAAGTTTAAGCGCTGGTTGTTGTTTACAGTGGTTGGCATACACCCCAGACTGCTCTGCACTGCTCTCCTGAGGAGCCCTCAACAAGGCTGCTCATGGCCAGAGGTACTGGCCCAGGGGGCTCTGGCTGCCCCTGACCCTTCAACTGTCCCATTGCTGGAGGGGTCAATTTCTCACCCATATTCAGGACACTAGCATGCCATAGCCCACTCGTTAAGAAGCACTGTCTGGATTATGTGCTTCATCTTACAAACGAGGAAGCTATGATGCAGATTAAGGAACAGATATTTTTTTCTAAGATTAATAGCAAATTATGGCAGGTTCAGAACTAGAAGAAAAAGAATAGAAATTCAATGAAAATATTTTGGACAGGAGAACAGTAATTTTTGAAAGGGAAAAATTGTAATAGGGTATAAACTTTGTTATCTGCCACTATATTCAGAACATGCCAGTAACTTTTTTTTTCTAAAATCTTGTTTTTTTAAATAAGGAGTGTATGTAGCGAAACACAACACAAAACAAATTCTGTCCCCTCAAATCCTATTACACAGATTTCATCACAGTCAACAACTTAGTATATATTCTTTTGTATCTTCTTCTAGGACTAGTCAATGTTTTAAGTATGTATGAATATGTATATATAGCCATATTGGTTTCATTTATACAAAAATATGGCAAACCAGAATGATCTGAAATTTCCTTTTTACCTCCATTTAATAAATTATTCATTTATTGAACTCTTACTATGTGCTTGGCAATGCTGGGTGCTGGAAATTATCGTAGTCACTCACATTATTAAACACTTAATATATGTCTTGTACCGTTTTATGCACCTTATGTTCCTGATATCATTTAATTCCCCTAACAACCTTAGGAATAGGTCCTGCTATTCTCATTTTTTTTAGATATTATAAAGGAAAGCCACAGTCCCAATATGGTGACACTTGTGCCAAAAACCCATGATACCAAACCTAAATTTAATACTTAAGTATTTGCAGTCTCAGCCTCTCCCTGGAGAGAAATTTTAAACTAGCTTGGAATATCCTGATCCACACTAGCGAGGTAGTCTGCCTGATGAGACTCTCCTGCTTTGCTTTAAGGGGTGTCCTTGCCCGAATAAATCCACTATTAACTTCTTAGTCCCATCCTCTTCCTGCTTGTGAAAAGTTTCCATTTTATACAACCCCTTGGAGCACCTATCTAGTTGCCAGAAAGCCAATTAGATTAGATTGAATTTTGTTTGAGTAAACTAGAATTTAGGGAAGTTGCATAAATTTATCAAGGTCATATAGGTCACACAACAAAGAAGCTGAGGTGGAATGTCCTGTCATAGCTAGCTGTGTTTACATTTTAATATTCTGGAAAGTCACAACCTCTGCTTATAACATTTTTTTGTTAGGCATCTGTCATATTCACTACCTTTTTCATCATGTCTGTAGAAACTACTAGAATGCCTGGCTTGTAGTAGACAATTTATGTACTTGTTGAATAAATGAGTGCATGATGAATGAAATACTTTGGGCCCCTTCAGTGCCCGGCATGTTC